AAAAAAAAAAAAAAGCCTCAACCCCTAGTTATCAATCGAAGCTGTGGTGTACTCTGCATTCCTTGTCTCGGTCAGGTTTAAGTCTGAATCCCTGTTAGCACATCAACTGTAATATCAAACAATAATTTATCCGTTAGGATGGATGATACGGAGTCATGGGATACTCAGGATACTTTTTAGAGCTTTTAAGCATTTTTCATCAAAACTTGAAAATCTACGTTGATTTTTCTTCTTACAGGTTTTGCTGGGGGTTGGGGGGAGAAGAGCATACACACCAAAAAATATAAATGCACGTCTAAGCTCAGTGTTATGATAGGATAAACATTTCTGACTCCACAGCATTTGAGATAATTTACTCCTGTAAAACCATTTCATTCTCTAGCCGATTTTCCACGAAAGGTCATTTCTGAACAGTGGCAAACAGTCAGCTGTAACAGGGTTAATCAGCAGCTTTCTTGGGGACGGGGACATACTGAGTCCTGCCCAGGCCATGGGAAATAGACTCTTAAGAGCATGGCCAATGGAGATCGGCCACTGACTGGGCCCAAACCCCCGCTCCTGCACTACAGGGCTGCGACCTGGCTGGTTTCCCCAGATCTGTTTCCTCACCTGGACAATGGGGATAAAAAGGATCTCATCTTGCAGGCTTAAAATCCACGTGAAGTGCTGTGCAAGAGTGCTCAGCACACAGCAAGTGCTCAGCAAACCCAGGCCTGGCCCCCACTCCCAGCTCCGTGGGGGGCCCCTGAGCAGCAGTTACTCACCGGCGCATACGGGGGGCTGTACTCTCGGTACTTGCGGTGCCCCTTCTCGCTGGGACTGAAATCCGAGTCATCAGAGAAGTCAGAGAAGTCATCGCTGGAAGAAGCATGGCGCTGCAGTGACAGGGGAGGGGAACTCAGTGACTGTTGCAGGCCGGCCCCTCAAGCAGTCAGCCCAGGGACAAACTGCTGGAATGTGCCGGAAGGGCTCTGCGCACCATGAGAAACACCTCGCCTAGGGGCATTTAGTGGCAGTAGAGCATGAGCTACCAACTCTTTAAGGAAAAAAAAGCTCTTTATCCAATTTGGGGAAGGAAGAACCAGCAGTATTAAGAGTGCCCTCTGGCCTACAAGACAAACTTGGCCCCTGGGGCTCTCAGCCCGGCCCCAGCGCGCCCTCCCGGACCTACTTTGTGCTTGGATTTCCTCCTCTTCTTCGACCTCCTCTTCTCCTTCTCCCGCTCTTTCTTCCGCTTTCGCTTCAGTCTCCTGTGAGACTTCTCCTCGTCCGAGTCGCTATGGTGCTTCTCCCCCTTTTCCTTCCGGCTCCTCTCGGGCCCTCCGGAGGTGTCCTGGGTCTCCTCGGCCCCATCGTCTTCCAATTCACCTTCTTCCAACTCACCATCTTCCCTATAAACCAACCCCAAAGCCAATATGAACCCAGGGTGTGAGAGGAACCGTCCGCGGGCTCTGGGCTAGCCACGGCTGACGGGAACAGAGAGCCCAACTGCTGTGAGCGAGGCCTTCCTCAGGAGGACGTGGGGGCCACTGCCTCTTGTCCCACCCCGCATCCTCCCCCCAAAAGGACAGCACTTGCTTTCACGTAACCCGGCTGGGGGCAGCGGGTGGGGGCCCGACACCACTGGATTTTAAAGGTACCGCCACTGGTATCGGACGACTCTAAGCCACGACATATCAAAGGGCTCCAAAGGACTAAGGTTCTCAGAAGAAAAGTGACAAGGTTCTGTGGTCAAATGAGGTGAGGAAAATCCTATCCTGGGGCTTCACAGTGCTTAATGCTCTAACAGAAGTTCCAGAAGTCTCATCGTCAAGAAACCTGTACAACCCGTGTTAGAGCATTTCCACAGCTTACTTGGCCACAGAGGCTGCTTGTCTCAGGGAACATGGTCCGTCCCCGAGTGTAGTGGGGCACAGTGGGCCTGAGGTCACTGGCATGGCCCAAGCCCTATGGAGGAGTCCTGTGAGCTGAGGGTGGTGGTTGTGGACAGTGGAGACAGGGCTGTGGCTCTGAACCAGGGGTGACCCCCAGACTCCGGCCCAACCCACGGTCAGGCCTGGACCGCACCTGAGGATGCTGTCTTTTACCAAAGCCCCATAAAGAAGTGCTAGTGATAAGTTCTGGTTTCGAGGTCTGACCCACACCCTTAGCTGCACAGCTCCGGGCTGGGGATCTGGGGGGCAACCGAGCAGCTGGAGAAGGGGAAGGGGCAAGGAAAGGGTCCCAGGCCCCAGACCCCTCCTGAGGTCCTCTCCTAACAGCTGTGAGTGCCCACAGAAGGGGTCCCCCTACCCCACTGCTCTGACACCAGGGATTCCTTCTGGCTCCCCATCCTACAGGTTTCCTTTGTTACCTCCCCCATGTCACCCCCACCCCTAGTACTTTAAAAAATAACAGCACTTTCCAGACACTGCCAACAGGACGTTCTAAATATCTAAATATCTATGGGATGGGGTGGAGGTGAGGGGATAAATAGGGTTAAGAAGGAAAGCAACTAGAAATAGATTCCAGTTTTTAGCCAAACCCACAGACACAGTTCTCACAAGTACAGGAGTTGGTTTAAAAAAATAAAGTTTTCAAATCTTTAAAAAGCTCCCAGAGTTCCTCCTGCATGACCATGCAAGAGAATGTGTGAGAATATAAAAAGTTCCTTCCTTATTAATTAGGACCCAAACAAAGATGATGAGAACAGAAACAGTGGCGTAATGAACCCGGGACTCAAAAGGCTACCCACAAAGGGATCGAATCTGTGGAGAAAAGAGCTCACTACTCAGAGAAGACCGGGGTCAGTGTGAGAACAAGCCCACCAGGCGAGCAGGTCCCCAGAGCCCCTGCAGGTTCTACTGAGCTGCGTGGAGAAACAACACACTGGTGATTCTCCCAGAGTCCCTCATGCCCTGTCGCTCGCACCGCCCCTTTTGTCTACCCCGGGGTGGTGCTGCTCTCTTAACTCTCATTCCCAATTCAATGAGGTCAGATTGGCTTAAAACCCAAGTGGCCCCAAACCCACAGATACCTCAGCAGAGGTCAAGGGCAGCTCTCACACACACAATTCAGGACACAAAATTTGTTCTGATGTTTCAAAGGAAACAAGACAGGGAAGTGACCGATGGGCGCCTCGTGTGGCTTCCTTGCAAACCACCAGGTTGCGGGGGGCAGTGGTCAGCCCCACAGGAAGATGCAGAGCAAAGCTGGGAGGAGCCAGCATTCCTGACAAGTGAGGCACCTTCCGGCACCGGCTTGGGTGCGGCCCACAGAACAGGGTGTGGCTGGAGTGGCCTTGCCTGCAGTAAAAGTACCACCCAACTGGGGAAACTGGCTTTGGTGAGCTGGCCAGCCAGAGGGAGTGGCTGTTACAGGGCAGCATGGCACACTCTCTGCTGCCTGGAGTTGGGGGGGGGGGGCGGGGTGTTCTGGAGCAAACATGATGTGTGTCCCTGCTGGGAACACTGTGGGCAGGCCAGGTCACCACACCTCAGGAGCAAACACAGGGAGCGGCGGCCAGACCATACAGACGGACATTATGGAGCGGAGGAAGGCCCAGAGACAAACTGGAAAGACAGAGGCTGGCCTTCCATGAAGAGAAGCTAAAAAGAGCATCACTCTTGACAACAGTCTGGAAAGGAAAAAGGGTAGAGGGACATGGTGAAAATCACCCAGCATCCCAGGGAAGGCAGGGGTAGAGGGAACGCAGGAAGACAAGAACTTCCCCGGGCTCCCAGAAGCCTTGATTCAAGAAAATAAGGCTCCAATGGCAAGACCTTTCTTCTTTCAGACAGGAGGAGTTCAAAGGGAAGTAGGTGAAAGGACTTGTCAGGAGCAGACAGTCCAGACACTCCAGACACTCCCTCACCTCCGCCCACTCCAGGGTGAGGACACCAGGACAGGGCAGAGAAAGGTCCTGCCCAAGGTCAGCCGAGGCCACCGCCCCTGTCCTGCTGCCACACGACCGCCTGCTTGAATGCGCAGGCCATTCATTCTGCAGCTAACACCTGGGGGCGGGGCACAAAGACCATCCAAATGACTCCAAAGCCTTGACCATCCCCTAGAATGATTCCAGAAGAAGACCTTTTCATTCAAATCCACCCTACGAAGACTTTCGGCCAAAGAGGGAGTCTCTGCGTTATCTATACTAACACCTCCAGGATATCTGGGCTCAGCGAGAATCTACCATGCAACTTTTTACAAAACGGGGAGTGAATACTTAGAACTGTTTCCTGGGTGGCTCGGTTGGTTAAGCGTCTGCCTTCAGCTCAAGTCATGATCCTAGGGTCCTGGGATTGAGCCCCGCATCAGGCTCCCTGCTCCACGGGAAGCCTGCTTCTTCCTCTCCCACTCCCCCTGCTTGTGTTCCCTCTCTTGCTGTGTCTCTCTCTGTCAAATAAATAAATAAAATCTTTAAAAAAATTAAAAAAAAGAACTTTGTTTCCTGAGATGGACCTGGGACAAACTGGAAAATAAACAGTATAAACCAACTGCTGGTGACTTACGAAGGGAAACGGGAGACTGGAGGGGACAGAGACCGGGGACACTCCGGTGACCACTGTGCATTCTCAGGCACATCTGGCCATGCTGTGCTCTCAAACTTCTCAAAGCCCCGGGCTCTGGTCACCTGCGGGGATGCCCCTCTGCTACTGCAGGAAACTCCCAGCTAAATGTCCTGCATGAATACAGGTCTGTTTTCCTTTAAGCAGTGAACGAGGGAAAAAAAAGACAAGAGGACCAAACCCGCTGGGACGGGGGGCGGAAATCCTGGGGACCACGGACACGCCCTGCACAAAAGCAGCCTCCACAAACAGCAGCCGGGCTTCAGTGGTGCCACTTCGCAGACTGCCAGCAAAACCCATGTCAGAGTGGGATTAAACACCAAGGGAGCGCGCCTAATAGACTGTGACATAATCCCTCAAGAAAAGTGGGGGAAGCCCTGTCTCGCTAATCATTTCAATCTAGACCTGCCAAGCCCTCTTGAGACAAGCACGCAGGAGAAAGCCTGCAGCGTCAGCCGGAGCCGGGACGGCCTTATTCCCAGGGCCCGGACTGGCAACGTCCCAGGATGGCTGCACCGGGGTCGGCCTGCCAGGGCCATTAGGGACGGGAAGCCAACCAAACTGGGGACTGCCTTGGAACCAGTGCCCAGGAGAGAATGGGCAGAGGCCAATGACTAGCCGAGGGTCAGATCTGTCTCGTGCCTCCTGGACTAGGCTTCCAGGGCGTTTAAATTCCCATTCACAGAGCTGGTGACAGCCAGCCCCTCCTCTCAGGTCAAAGACCAGCTCTGGATGCCCACTCTAAGGACTGCCAACTGGCCACTCCACAGGGCACAGGAGAGTGCTGAAGTCATCATACACCATGGGCTTGGCAAGAACAGTTACTGGGTAAAGAAACCTCACGATTCAAAGTAGGTTGGCCCCACCCACCAGCCTACAGATTTGGGTATGGGGCTTCTTCCTGCAGGCCGAGTACCAGCTCTGCTGCTTCCCTAGCAGCGCTCTTGGTACATTTAGCCTTGGTTTTCCCATCTGTGGAATGGAATAACTGTGGTACCTACAAGGATTTTTCGGGTTACATGAGATAATATGGATAAAGCCCCTGACATGAGAAAGGCACCAACTACCAGACGAAAAGCAGCTACTGGTTTTAAGAACCAGCTACCACGAGTGTGCCTCTGCATGGATAACCCTAAACTGGCCCGGATGCTCACTGGAAAGTGTCTTCTCTATGGAGAAGCTACAGCCAACTCCCCTTGGGGGCCACTGCTAACTGCTGGCCAACTAGTTCCTGCTTCACTTGGCCCAACGGTGCATGCGCGGTCCTCTCCTGACAAATCCTGCTGCCGAAACCGACAAACCAGTATCTCCCCTTCCTTAGCTCTAATTTAGGTGGTAAGACAAAGTAACCGAGTGGCTGACCAGGAAGGAAAGGCACAGGATGAGCTGAGCCCCAGGAAGAATGGACAAAGGCCCCTTAAAAAAAATGAAGCTTCCCAACATGGAAATTCTCTAGACAAGAGATCTGGATGGAAGCTAGAAGGGGCCCGAGTTTGTGGCTCAACCTTGGTTTACAAAAAAAAGGGGGAGGGCATACACACAAAAAAGATGGAAACTCATGGGAGCAGTGGCTGTTACCTGAAGATCATGAGAGCCCTTGACAAGAGGTGGCTAGGTTAATGTGAAGGTCAGAGTTATGATCATTAACTGCCCAAGCGCTCAACAAATTGCCTGGGTAGGCTCTGAATGACCTATTAACTAGGGACAAAATTACAAAATTACAAGGAGGCTCGGCCTCTTCAAATGTTTAACAACAGGCCTAAATGCAGAAGTCCCCAAATCCAACCGTGTGGGGCAGTTGTTTACTAGGAGCGAAGGCACAGAGCCTTTCCCTGCATTTACGCTGAGGTGAAGCAGCTCCAGGGGTTGGGGAGGAACCTCGCTGAGGGATTTTCAGAGGCAGGAAATTCTTGAAATAAGCCTCTGGGTCTTGCACATGTTTTTCAGTGTCCTTACTACCTAGGTTCATCGACCAGAAATCAAGAGCAAATGGGCTCTGTGTCTCCCTTTCCCCCAACATTCTCAGGTGGGGTCACAAGAGACTGTGACATCACACCACTTCCATGGTAACCTGCCTCCGTCACAGACACCACCCCACCCGAGCAGCCAAGCGCAAACCAAGCATGGGAGAAGAGAAGCCCAATGACCACCAGTACCCCGAGCCCTCACTTTAACAACGTGAGAAGAGGCCGCCCAGTGCTGGGACCTGGATATGAACACACCTACTGCCAGAAGTCAATGTGGGCCATGACGGAGAAATGTGAACCAGGTCTGGGTATTTCAGATATTAAGTAATTACTGTTAACCTTGTTAAAGAGGATCACGGCTTTGTGGTTCTAT